AACAGCTGACTGACATGAATGTTAACTAGCATGCAAAAAAAATCGATAGCTGTATTCGTCACAAGTAGGAAAAATTAAAGGGCACTCCTTTAAAAGGCAAGGGAAGGGCAAAAATATTTTAAGTCAAGTGATAGCGATTGCTGTATGAGTCGTACGATTTTTTTAATCAAGCACGGGCAACGCCGGGCCATGCTGCTAGTAAGTGCTAAAAAGTAAAATAAGATTGCTACAATGGAAGAAAATAACAAAACTTTTCATTCAGGTATCAGAAGCTTTATTATAAAATAAACAATTACAATTTTATGCCCCTTACCCCTAAGTAAAAACGAATACTTTAATAACCAATGAGGTGTCCGGACGGCCTTTTCTCGATATGCCTTGATTTGAGCCTGTTTTTGCTTACGAAAAATAACAAATACAGAAAACAAATTTTACAATGTGCTTTCGGCCCTGCCAACAGAACTGATAATGAAACTCCAGTTGCCTATTTAATTAAAAAAGAAATTATGAGGACTTGAAAAAGGTTGTCGTCACAAGCTACGAGAGAACCAAACAAAAGCAAATGCCAGCCACTGATAATGACACCCCCATAGATGAATTATCTGCTAAGGAAGACTCGTTGAATTTACAGCAATTTCAGACTCAGCCTTAGCTAAGGAAAATGGGTTATATTTTCCAAATAAAATGAGTTCTTCCATTTCGCATAAATAAATATATTTGTAGAGTTCCGCTTCTGGGTAGAGGTGTATTGTGGGGAAATGAAATAAAATCAGCAAAGGAAATAATAATAAAGAATAAAAAAAAGAACGAAGAAATATATTTTCCCATGTTGCTAGTAATAAAGGAACCGGAAAGGGTTTTGGTCATCTGCTCAAATTTTTGGCCACACGTCCAAAAAGGACAGAACTGCGCTCTTTTTCTGTTTCTAACGCATAGCGTTCAGATGTGTTTTGCACAACCTCCACTTTTTGCAGAACTACCTTTACACTGGTAGTTCCAACTCAGCTCAAAACTAACGAGCTCGACCATTATAACCATTCTTATCATTATTTACCTTAACTTCTGAACCAGAAAAGGAAAACAGACATACCCAAGAACTTTGTTTCCCTACAAGAAACGATCTGTAGTAGAAACCCAAGTTTTTGTTCCTTCTTCTTTGTTTATATGTGAACACACACACCTAAAATACACCAACACATAACCTTAAATCTCATAACATTGAACAGTAGATAACAACGTATGATTTATGCTGTAGGTATGATAGCATTTATGCTTTAAGCTGGAGTTTGAAATATAGGAAGCAATGGATAGTACTGAATTTACTGGTTTATTCCGGTAAACAATTCCAAGTTATAATTTCCCCGCCCTGTGTCGATTATTTTATTTCTTCTTGTCTGTTGTGTCATGACGAGGAAAAACTACTAAATATATTAGGTCAGATTTATTCAACCACATATGCGCCATTTTATTCCACTACCTTTCACTATCTTTGAGGCAACTTCATGATTCCATCCGTCTAGAAATTGACATCTTTCTGGATGATGAACTGTCCTAACTGGTTTTTGAACGCTTTAAGAGGATTGAAGCTCTTCCTATTAAGAAAATTCTGTAGGAAACGAAATAAGTGGTGCAAAGTCAGGAGAGTACGGTGGGTGGGTGTAGTATAACATCCCAAGTTGTACCAACTTCTGTCAGATCTGCAGTAAAGACATGAGGACTGGCATTGTCCTGATGGAAGACAGCACCCTCCCGATTGACCAATTCCGAACGCTTTTCATAGATAACTGACTTTAGTCTGTTCAGTTTGGAACAGTACCCAACTGAATTCAACGTTTGATTTTGCGGAAGTTCGTAATACACAATGCCCTTACAATCCCAGCGTATGCTGATCAGGTTTTCATTTTCCGCGTGCGATCATTTTTACTCCAAATTGTTCTATACAATCAATCAATTTCATCACTTTCAGAGTTCTTTTCAAACTGTGTTTTGATTCTTATTGATCGGCCTGCTCCTATAGCTTCATACTGTTTGTGCATACGACTGCGGTAGTTCATGTTGTCTTTCTCTGGCTGGGTTCCTCTAGTGTAGAGATTGAAGTGTTGCAATTTGAATCTGCTTTTCACATTCTTACCACTTGATATTCTTTACCCCTTTCCTTTTTAATGAGAGTCCAACTATTGTGTTTGCTGAAAGCCTCTCTATAGCAGACCGAGTGATGATTCTTAACAAATCTTTTCTCCGCCTAAAGTACAAAGTTCACAGAAGTATGTGACAAAGTAAACATCTACTTATCAAGACAGCTCCAGTCCCACTAACGTTAGGATAGGCATACATTCTCTGCTAAAAATATATTGTCATTCACCTTTTATAAGCCCATAAATAGGAAATATGACTCAACGCAGATTTTTTTCTGGAGCCTCAGAATATTTTCTATTGATAGAACTTATTAATTTACATTTATTGAAGTATCGCAATAAATGAAACATCGAAGCTTTTCCACAAAAATATATATTATCATTTAAGTATTTGCATATGAACCTGAACAGCCTGTCACTGACAAAATCATTATTTTGATGCTAAAAAAATTGGGCATTTATCCAAAATTTTCTTTTAAAAAAATTACATTTCTCAATTTTTACATCATTATTTAGTTTAGTTAGTTTAATAAAGTTTAATTAAATTTCCTATTTTAATAGAGAATCACTTTAAATACACCGATGGAAAAGTACAACACCATGAAGGACAATGTGACTTTTGACCTGGATAGAATATGTGCATATTAGAGAGTAGTAGATATTTTGATAACATTTTCAGTTTTCGGTTATCTTGTGATTCATAGCAAGTCCAGTGCAATCAGTTGACAGGATACGGAAAGCTGCATGTGCCTCCTTTTGTTCAAACAGGTCTTTGAGAGAGGTGGGAATGTGCTTTCCAGAGGCAAGATGATCATTTCGGAGATTTGCAGAGAATTGTTGAACTGGTGCTTCGATGTTGTCAGTAGGGGTCAAATGAACATTCCGACATGCGTGCATCAGGTTCTGGACGGCCACGTAGTACAGACGCTCACCAATAACGAAACATTGAAAGAGCATCCACGGCACATTTAAAAACAAATGTGGCATCGGGAGTGTCAATGCAGAGTGTTGGGAATCGTTTACATGTGTGCAGGACTTCTGGAACGTGTGCCTTTCCATTTAGGTCATAACATTGTTGTGCATGTCTCCAGCAATCTCACGAAATGATTATCTCAGGGGTCAGTGATTAAAACAGATTTTGCCTTAATGTAAATAATATTTGTTACAAAATCTTTATGCGAATACATGACCGCAATAATATTTATTCATGTATGTAGTTTTTCTCACGCTGTTAATTTGTATCAAGTTTCATTAATTACGAAGTATACATATATACATTTTTGTATATATATATATATATATATATATATATATATATATATATATATATATATATATATATATATATATTGGTATCTTCACAACAGCATATTGTGCTGAAAAATTCTTATGAGTCGCACACTGGTCTTCTTCAGTTCAAGATATTATATTTCTGAGTCATTTTATCCAAACTCAATTAATAGATTATTTTTAGACGCAAGTCTTCAGGTCATTCCATTAAATGTCATAGAGTCGCCTGTAACTCCCAAGTCACAGTTTGAACACACTCATTAAATTCCTTCAATATGGTTGTTAATATATTTTGAGGCATAATTTGTTTATTAATTTCTAAATCTATTTTCAGTTATTTTAAAAAATAATTCCCTATATTATACTTCTTTTAAAACATATCAGTCAAAATAAGTGCGACTGTCATTTATTTTATATCAAATTTCAAGCCGTAACAATAAATTAATAAAATGGAAAAATAATTAAAATATTTAATAATTTTGACTGCTACTGTCCAATAGACTGAATTCTGGCCCAAATTTGCATATTCAAATTCCTTTTTTCGATAGAACTCTTAATTTACTCTTAATAGTATGCAGGTTATACGTTTCACAATATTGCACTTAAAGTTGAGTCAACAAGAAATTTTTCTTGCACTTTTTATTCAGACCCATAAAATTTCTGTAATTTTGGCTAGTCATTTCATAATACTTTGTAAATAATGTGCTTATAATACACATTACATTGCCTTTTGCATATGTTTATTATATCGCTTTGTGTAATGCTTTTGTCCCATAATAAATGCTATATTTGCACACGCATTTCATACATTAAATGCAATAACTATTATAAGACAGATGTAGTAGCATTGTGCATGTATTCAAGGTTTTTTTATTATATCATTTTGTCTTTATTTTCTCTAGAAAAATATTTATTATGCTATCAAAGTTTTACACATCAACTGAATAAACGGAGGGGGGAAGTGTTTATTCTGTCAAGTTTTTCATGTAAACTGACGAGAAAACAATAGATAGGCAAATGACATTTTATCAGAAAGTTAATTCACTGAGTAAAAATTACAAAATACATCATAGTTATGAACTGGCCTGCAAACTCTTCAAATTACAATTCAATTAAAAGCCTGTGACACATTTTTCACTGACAGCACTTTGAAGAGTAACAGCATAATCTTTTGCATGAAGCATTGCAAGAATTAATTTCTACTTGAAACTTTGAAAAATTTCTAATGTATAACAGTTATTTTCACATTTTACATTCAAAAAGAAAAAAGTCTTGTCATTATTATTTTCATTTCATTTTTGATTTTTAAAAATGCATGTCTTATATTGAGTCGGAACGAAAGTTTTTAGTATAGTTTAAGGGAAATTCAAAGACAACACTTAGATATTTGTAAATATTTGTTTATTTATCCACACATGTGCATTTTGTTCCACTATCTTTCGCCATCTTTGGGGCATTTTCATGATTCTATACACCTAGAACTTGGCATATGAATTGAGTTTTACAGGCTTCTTGAAGTTCTTTCCAACAAGAGAATTTTGTAGGAACTGAAATTGATAATCCAAAGATGTAAAGTCAGGTGAGTACGGCAGGTGTAAGAGGATATCCCCGACAAGCTGAACCAATTTCAGTCGAGTCTGCAAACAGATGTGAGATATGACATTGCCTTAATAAAAAGCAGCCTTCTGGTTAGCTAATTCTGAACGTTTTTTTATCATTTGCTGCCTATAATCAGTCCAGTTTGGAACAGTACTTGTCCGAATTCCACATGTGAATTTACGGAAGGACGTCAATGCACAATACCTTTTCAATCTCACCAGATACTTAGCATCTACTTTGGATACAGACTAGATTTTAAAATGGTTAACGGTGGCTCATTTTGTTTTCCCCTGGGTCATTTTTGGATCCCTATTGTTGTAAACAGTCCATGATTGTATTTTTTAAAAATGGTTCATTTCTTTTTAGTAGAGAATTACAGATAGAAATGTGTTTCATTAAGTCTTTTTCATTAATTCGTAAATCACCCAAACATCGTAGTGATTCATGTACCCAAGTATTTTCAACACTTACAACACTCATGTGGAGTATCTCTGCAATATCCCATGTCGTGGGATCTGATTATTTTTAATCAGCATTTCGAGTTGGCCATCATTAACGTTCTTGGTCTTCCAGAGAAATTTCCACTTTTGAACCTAGCAAACCAGTTATGAAAAATACTCTTAGATATGGCACCATCTCCATAATTTTTTGATATCTGTACAGCATTATTTTTTTCTTTCTAGAAACAGAATATAGATAATGAAAATTCATCTCATGTTCTTTCATTTTTACTTTTAATTTAAAAACCTTCAATATTCACAAGCTACAAACATAAGGTGATGACTTAAGGAAAGTGAGACATGGGTGCTCAAAACCACCACTGCATACATTCTTACAGTGGATCAAAGTAAAATGGAGTGAATCATGTTTGACAGGGAGAGCATCACTTGGATTCAACAATAGAATGGAGTGAAGGACATAATCAAGACCACCAAAAGAAGAAATTAACATTGATGAGTTGGCTACAGCTATCATTTCAGTGACAACAGGTGGACTATTAAAGCAAGAGAGTGGACACTAAGGCAAGTGGAAAAGAACAAGAGGGTGGCTAAAGGCAAGATGGCACAACTATCTGACCTGATACCTCAGCCTCACATAGATTAGTATGGTCAGAGGTAGGAAGTGGTGGAGATCAACCAGGGAGGGGATTCCTCCAACAGGAATGAGAAGGCCCTAGATTTGGAAACCATACACAAATCATATTGAAAGAAGCATTGCAATGTTACCTTTCAGAATACATATGCATCTCATAAATTTCAGTCACGTGTGAAAGGAAATCCTGTGTTCGAACACCACACACTTTTGCTCCAACCCAATAGTTATTTAGACTTTTCAAAAGAGCCCTAGATAAAAAGTTATTTTAAAATCAAATTTTCCATTCATTTTTTCATATATAATTAAATAGTTTACACTCTTTGACCAATATTTCAAATTTACAATCTATATTTGAAGAATGTTTTATATTTCCACTACTATTACAAATCATATCACATTATTAGCATGTATTATCAATATATAAAAATTTGAAGCTAAAGGTTTATTTCCTGAATAATGGCAATATATCTTTGTTCAGAATGTTCAAGCCATATAGATTTAACAATACTGAGGAAAAACAATTCAGTAACTTAGAAACTGATTTAGAATATATTTTTCATGCCTGTAAGTTTTAACAAATACAAAATTTAAAAAATTCTCATTCTACATAACTTATTCTTTTATGAGCATACTAAGCCTTGCTGTTGGCAACTTCTATCCTTTTCCCTCTAAAATCTCTTCATCAATCCATAACATTTTACAAGAAACAAAGTACACATAATAGGAAGCATGCAGATTTTTTTTCTCCAACCATTGTCTGTCACATTTTTATCTCTATTGTTTTGTTGCTTCATTTTTCTTGGCAATTATTTTGTAATACATTTATTGTATTGTTGCTTACTCTATTTTCAGTTTAGCTTTTTCTCTCATTACAAACTTGTTGAGGTTCACTAAGCTTAGCATAAGACAAGGCCACAAGTGAGACTCAAACTTAATACTGTATACGAGACTAATTTACTGATGATTCTCCCTCTGGAAACCTAGTCATAGTAAATCTGAATACAGTGATATTCATAAGCATGTTTTCTGATTATTCAGGTTACTACATAAAGCAAGAAGAATACATGTATAAACACACATATCTATGAAATATTTCATAGATAAATAGAATTTCATTTAATTTATATGTTTGAAGTTTCTGTATTTTAGAAAGATGCATGATTTTATTAAATTCCACCACATAGATTCATAGAAGAGGCACATAGAAACCATAGTATAGTATAATACTGGGAATAATAATTTGTTGAAATTAGTTTTTATCAACATTACAAAAGTACCAATAGATATCCAGGTGAATGATATTTCTATACACTTGCAGACAGCTATCAGTAAATGAATAAAACTGCAGTTGATTTCTGGAAGTCTTTTTTCTCAGTGCTATAAATTATGAAATTGCTTTTCTTTCCATAAAAATCAAAGTCATTTTTAACTGAACATAGTTGGATTAATCCTGAAGATAATTTAAATGTTGCCATTTATAGAATAGAATTTAAAATAAATTCTCTAGATTTAACCTCCAGGTTTTTCATTCCCATTGTTTTGGACAAGAATTTACAAATGTATCTGAAAAGAAATTTTGTGTATATAAATGTAACTAGGTATTTTGGTTGTTTTTTGTAAGCGTGCATGATTAATTTTGCATAAATAATTGATGACCAGTTAAACATGTTAAAATAATGTTTCAAATAGAAAAAAGCCTGATTCTCCTAACAAGTTCATTTAATACAACCAAAGTATTTTTATTAATCACTGTTGCATTAGCTGATTTTAAAAATATTTTCGTTGATTATTCCCATTCCATTGTTTACAAAAAAGAAATGGAAAATGACATTGTATTGTGTTATATCTTACAACACCCACTGGCCTTCTTCCCATGATCATTTCTCATTTCATATAGACGCATGCCAACAGAACGAACTTCAATATCCTCATTAGTACGCAAGAGCCTGAAAAATAAAAATTATTCAGAATAAAAAAGTATTTTTAAATGTGTAGAAAACTCAAATTTTATGCAGACATGTTTCACAGTGACATCAATGCAATTTACATTTAAAACTGCATATCACATTATTAACATGTTTTATCAATAGATAAAAAATAAATACTCATTTGAAACTAAAGGTTTATTCTCTGAATAATGGCAATATATCTTTGCACAGAATGAAAGCTGATCAAACATAAACAAAAACCAGCCAATTGCATGACATGCCCTAAATTTCAAGGTCTCAAATTAATGAGTTTGAAGCTTTAAAATGGATTGTAAGACTGATTTTACAGATAAAGAGAAATTTTTAATAACTTTAGAAATTGCAAAAAGTAAAACAATGTTAGAAATTGAAAATTGATCACATTGTGCAATCAGACTGTGAAGAGGTTCATTGAAGATCCTGGATTACTTAGATGATAAGGGCAAGTGAAGAATTTTATTTCACCAATCTATGCCCCATATTAAGAGAGAGACTTTTTGGATTTTTAGACATTGTGGTGGTGAGGAAATATCAAAAAGCAGTAAAAGTGAGGTCTTATAACAAGTAGCAAAACATCACAGATCAATTACGAGGTCTAAGAATTCTATAAAGAAAATCAAATGAAATGAACAACAGAATCCATGAAGATCAATTTTTACAACTATTTTTACAACTATTCTTTTCATTAACAAAAACTGCGCTGCCATTGATGGGCAATATGTATAGGGCAAAGTCTAGTGGTTGCTATTAGTGGAAACACCTCTCACAGGTTGAGAGGTCAACAAAGGCAGAGTTAGTGTAATCATCTGAAGTGAGGTTACAGGTAGTTAAGTGGTAGGTGCATGGCAAGTTTCATGACAAGTTTCATACATTGATTTTTTTTAAATCACTCTTGTAACTATGGTTACAAAAATGCATGACAATGATCCTTCACACATGATAATGTGGTCGGCTTATTCACTCAGCCAACTGAAAATTTGTGGAACATTCTGAAGAGGATTTTAAATTGGCAGTCAATTTACAATTTACCACTAAAAATGAATTTTGAAAATGCTATTCTGGCTACTATACATATGAAGATATACAAAAATCAACTAAAATTAGTTTCATTACATGGAGCATACATTTTTTTGTGTAAATGCTGTTTTCTCATAACTTTATTAATATAACTGTTGTGGTAGGATCCACCTAATTTGCATAGTGGAGTACCGACCATATAAATATGGTTGGTACCGGGAAGACGAGGGCAGGAATCAAGAGATTCAATCCAGAGACTCTGCCCGACTGCGACTAAGTCAACACATTCTCCAGGAACGGTCTTCCCAAGAATATACAAAAGACTATATGTAAATATTGTGTACACATTCTTGTTTCAATACATTTTGTTCTAAGTACATTTTGTGTTGTATTATTATTCCATGCATTAGTCAAGTTTCAACAATGGCGACGAGGTAGTAAGAACTTTACGTTACAGAAAAAAAAATAATTGATAATTGCCTTCAAAAATTGGGACAAGTCTTTGAAGAACCCAGGCTGAAGGAAAAAATTATTAATTAAAAGTCCAACATCTAATAGAACGGCAAAGGATTCTGAAGTTTGGATATTTAAAACTCGTTAAAGGACGACTAAGCATAAAGGAACGTTCACTCAGAAAAATCTGAAAGGTAAACGAATAACGGTGAATTAAAAAAAAAAAAAAAAAAGGAAAAAAAACTGGCCGACTACAAAAACATGCATGGAATTAAAAGGAGCACAAATACACCGTGTCGACTTTGAAAGGTAACGAACTTTAAAAAAAAAATTTTTTTTTTGGTTGCTCAACAATATTTTATAAAGCAAGACATAAAATTAAAAAGTCGTAAGTTGTTTCGATTTTTTTTTGGTCAGATTATATTATATTCGTGGATACACAATTTAAAAGTATATTCTTTGTTGCATGAACACTATCAGCTAAAGATGGATGAATTATCCAAAGTCATATCTGAATTATTCAAAGCCCAGCAGTTGAGTCAGCAACGTCAAAGTGAACAGTTTGCCTTATTAATAAGGGAACAGCAAATAGCACAACAAAAATATCAAGAAAAGCAAGAGGAGTTGAGTCAGCAACGTCAAAGGGAACAAGAGGAAAGACAGCAAAAATATCAAGAAAAACAAGAGGAAAGACTGGAAAAACAGGAAGAAATGCAGATCAAGGTTTTAGAAATTCAAAAGTTAACACTGGAGAAATTAAACAACAATCAGGCAAATGAAGGAAACTCTTCAAATTCTAATAACATCATATTTAATTCGCTGAAAACTTTCAACTATGTGCCAGACGAAGGAAAAACGTTTGAAGCGTACTTTAAACGATATGAAGATATTTTCTACACAGACTGAAAACTGGTCGAATTCAAGAAAAGTCAGTCTATTACTAAGAAAGCTAGGTACAGCGGAACATAGCAAATTTGTAGATTTTATTCTACCGAGAATAACAAATGAATTGGAATTCTCGGAAACAGTGAAATTGCTAAAGGAGTTGTTTGGAGCAAATATATCACTTTGGCATAAGCGATGGTTATGCATGAATGTCGCTAAATCCGACGATCAGGATTACTTAACATATGCCTCTATAGTGAATAGACATTATGACAATTTCAGATTGGCAGAGATTACGGTTGAAGAATTCAAGTGTTTAATTTTTGCTCAAGGACTGGTATCCAGTAAGAGTGCCGAAATAAGACGTAGAGTTTTGTCTAAACTCGAATCTGAACAAAACCTTACCCTGCAAAAGTTAGCAGAGGAGTGTCAGCGGGCCGTAAGTTTAAAGAAAGAGTCTCAAAAAATTGAAGAAGCTGGCATTGCTTATATTAAAAAAATAAAAAAACAGTCAAATTACCCATCAGAAAAAAAATTGGAGTAAAAATTCGGCGTATTTTAAAAATAGACAAGAAAAATTAAATGAAAAGAATAAGGAGAAAAAAAAGGTTTCACCATTTAATTGTAGACGGTGCAACGAAAGACACTGGGAGGTAAATTGCCCATATAGAAATAAAAAATGTTTCGTGTGCCACAAGAATTGTCACAAAGGGTCGTGTTGTAAAACGAAAAAAGTCAATAGCCGAAATAGACAAACAAATTCAAATATCAAATCAGATAGAGATTTGAGGAAGTATGTGATGACTGAAATATTTAAAAAGAATATCAAATTTCAACTCGATTCGGGTTCAGATTTAACAATAATGAACGATAAAACATGGAAAATTTTAAAAAGGCCTACAATAATGAAGTCAACGAAACGCGCTCGAACAGTAACTGGAAAGGAAATTAAATTCGAAGGCGAGGTTGTACTTCCCATGAAATTGAACGGGATAGTTAAAAAAATAAAAGTTTTCATTCTGAAAAATGGAGAAAACTTGATGGGTACAGATTTTATTGAAACATTCGAATTGTGGGATAAACCGTTAAACTCATTCTGCAGAAAAGTAGAAATACGCAAACAAGACAGGACATTAAAGAGGAATTAAAGAAAAAGTTTCCGGAAACCTTCACACCTGGTCTTGGAAGATGCAACAAGTTTGAAGCCAAATTTGAATTAAAGGAAAATACTATGCCAATTTTTAAAAAGAAACGTAACGTGCCTTTCGCAAGTGTAGAGAAAATTAACGAAGAACTTAACAGGTTGGAAAAATGGGAATTATTTCGAAAGTAGAATCTAATTTCTTGGGCTGCGCCGATTGTGTGCATAAAAAAGAAATCAAACCAAGTCAGAGTCTGCGTCGATTTTTCGACAGGGTTGAACTCGGTAATTAAGGACTACCATTACCCGTTACCGAGTCCGGAAGAGATTTTTAACAAGCTAAATGGTGGAGTTATATTTTCAAAAATCGACTTATCAGATGCCTATCTCCAAATTCCCGTCGAAGAGGAATGTTCGAAGTTACTAGGGATAAACACGCATAGAGGGTTATTCAAGTACAACCGGCTTCCTTTTGGTATTAAAGTGGCACCAGCCATTTTTCAACAAGCTATGGACGTCATGTTGAATGATTTAGACTTTGTGTGCGCTTACTTAGACGACATCATAGTAAGGAGCGAAACGGTCGACGAACATCTAGAGCATCTCAATCAAGTATTTAAAAAGATTCAGGACTTTGGATTGAAAGTCAAAGAGTCAAAGTGCGAATTTGGTTTGGAGGAAATTAAGTATTTAGGGCACATAATCAACAAAAATGGCAGATTAGAGACATGCCGACGCCCACTAATGTGGCGATGCTACAGAGTTTTCTGGGGCTTGCAAATTATTATCAAGCGTTCATTAAAGGAATGTACAATTTAAGAGCTCCGTTGAATGAACTGCTAAAAAAAGACAAGGCATGGGAATGGACGGTAGAATGTCAGAAAGCCTTTGATGAAATAAAGAAAATACTTACGTCCGACCTCTTTTTAACCCATTACAATCCAAAACTGGATATTGTAGTGGCAAGTGACGCTAGTTCATACGGGATAGGAGCGTGTATTCAACACATAATGCCAGATGGTTCTAGAAAACCAATTGCACATGCTTCGAGAACTTTGCTCCCAGGAGAAAGAAGTTACTCCCAGATAGAAAAAGAGGCACTGAGTATCATTTATGCCATAACAAAATTTCATAGATACATCCACGGCAGACATTTTATGCTTGAAACGGATCATAAACCTCTGATCACTATTTTTGGTTCAAAGAAAGGGTTACCCGTTTATACAGCAAATCGTCTGTTGAGATGGGGAACCATTCTTCTCAATTATGATTTTCACATTAAGCACTTATCATCCAAAAATATAATTCATGCGGATAGTTTATCAAGACTCGTACCGAGTCAAGAAGAAAAACTCGAAGAATCAATTATTGCAAATATCAGAGCTGATTATGAGGTGAAAAGCATGGTAAACAACATTGTAAGAGAGCTACCGGTTACACTAAAGGAAATTAAAAAAGAAGCTGAAAGCGATGATTTCATTTA